TCCAATCCCAAAAGATGGACTCCCACGTTTTTATTAGTTTTTTATTTAACTGCATATCGTGAAAGCAAAATTCGGCAACCGTACAATATAATCCAAGGCGCGTTTTGGAACTTCTTATAGTGGAAGTTATCAGATTCAGTTTATTCACAAAACTTACAGCCCATCATTTGTATTGTCCCGCTCCAATTCATTAATTCGCAAATGAAAGTTACGGAGTTGGGTTTTCACGATTAGGATTAGGGCTTGACTTTAATGTTCCTGCAGTGATTTATGGTTGGGTTCCCGCAAGTGAAATGAGAAGTGAATCTACCATTGTAGATGCTTTCCCAAAATCAGATTCAGGTAATGTAGTTTTCAAGGTAGAACACACATTCAAAAGGTAAGATTTGAGATCAATAGATATATTAATCTCTATTTTGTTTATTCTAAAAATTTTATATTCATCAATTTTGAAGATCGTGATTGCTAAAGTTTAACAAACTTGATGCTTCGCTTTCACTCTGTGACCTAACTGAATAACATTTAAAAATCTATTTTTTCATTTGCAGGAATTGGTGCATCCCTTATTTCTTTCTGAATGGAGAAACTATAAATTTATAACTACGTTTGCCGCTGGTAATAAGATCTCCCACTTTGAATTGAAGTACTTTCACAGTAAAATTCTCTTGCTATTGTTAACTAACTTGCTCCTTCTTTACACAACTTCTCATCTACAAAGGTCATAATACTCTATCCGATTTGTACATATTCCGTTGTCAATATGTCACGAAAAGATTTTGGTTTCTTTCTTTAGATGCTAAATACTCGATGCATTTACAATTTAAGTGATTGCCACCCTTTTTTACATTTATTTCCCATGCAGGTTCGTAAATTAGTCTATTATCTTATGCAATTCTTTTTTATATCATGTTGCTTCTGCATTTGACGCTCATGTCATCCAAGATATAAGAGGCAATAGGTAACTTTCTTTCACTACTTTTGCACTTATGCCTTTCTTTCAAACATTTGACTGAATTGGAGAATTGATACAGTGGCACTATATTGGTGCTATTACTATGTTATACATCTGTAGCATTATTGTCTTTGCGGGGGAAATGCCAATATAATTTGCTATAAAGGAAGATGCTTTTCATGAGAACTCTCTTGTGAGGAAAGTATTTTAGATTTTTGGGTATAAAAGCAGGCCATATTTTTTCAGTATAAAAAAGTGTCAATCATGTTAAATGTTAGATTGATAAAGAGTTGGGATAAACGTAAAAATTTTCAATTGTTAGAATTAAGCTTTCTGTTTGAGAAATGACGTTGGCTTTCATATTTTCAACTACAATTCATGGCTCTCTTTCTTCATCTTCTTATGAAAAATAACCCAAAGGTACCCATTATATTTTCTCCCAAAATATCAACTTTTGCACTTAAATATGTAATTGTTATGAACTCAGAGAATTTTATCATCTGGGTTTCATTTTTTTTTCCTTTTTTGGATTTCCTTTGGTTCTCAAAGTTTCAATCTTTGCACTTAAAAGTGTAAATGTGATGAACATCAACAATTTTACCATCTGGATTCTTTTTTCTCCTAGGTCTCATTTGCCTATTGTTTACAGTGTCACAAATGAGTAACGCTCAACAAATGTATCATCCTCAAGCTTCATTCAAAGCATTGTATTTTACTCCGAAGTGCTGGGCTATGAAGTCATTAGTTCCATTAGCAGCTATTATCAATAAGCTATTACCATTACTGATATTTCCTTTTTAGTTTTTTTATTATCCACCTATTTTTCTAATACATGTAAATAGGCTAATAGCTATTCGATATAGCTTCTCACTATAATTATATGTTCCTTAGAGTTTGTTCGTAGGATTCATGTACGAAAAATTGCTAACTATTCAGGTATAAATAGTGAATATTATAGCTTTCTTCATCAGATAATTACGTTCTCTAATTTGATTTTATAGTTAAGTTATGAATAATGGTTCCTGTTGAAAAGGTTGTTTATTTATCTACTTTGATTCATGCCATCAATGTTAGCAACTGCTATAATTTTTACTGCAATGCACTCTCGGTGTGTATAACGAGTAGAAGAAAACCTGCTTGGGTAACTTTTGCTGTTGTTGGAGTATACATACAGATATAGTAAGCAAGATGGCAAAAACACTGCAAAGTTATGGCATGAAGAGAGCAGTAGTTGTCCATTCTGAAGGTTTGCAATAAATGGGTCCTCTTGGTAATTTTTTTTTGGTAGTATTGAGTATATAAGATTGCATTTGGCTTTATCAATCATGCAATGAAAATGGACAGGGCCTGGAGCGGTCCTTGATGTTACACCTGAAAAGATTAAAAAATTCCCTTTTAACCCACGTAAGAATCTTTTTTGATGATGGCCCCTTTGGACAAATTAAAACCAAAGTATGTTCTGCAATTGACCTGTGATCAATAAATATATTTTCTATTTTGTTTATTCTGAAAATTTTATTTTCTCAATATTTAGAGATTGTGATTACTAAAGTTTGCTTCTTTTTCATTAGTTACTTAGAAATCCTGACGTAGAATAAATTTGAAAATATGAACATTCTCAAGCACTTTTCAGTTGTTGTTCCTTTTGACACTAAAAAAAGAAAATAAAAAGAATCATTAGGTTTCTCATTATACCTTGCTGCACTTTACATAACCTGCAAGGGAGAGCCAGAGTACAATGTGGAAGTACTAAGGCGTGTGCTTTCAGGTGAAAGAAAAGTGGCCAATTGCAAATACATTGGTAAATCATTATATTTTCTTGGATCCTTTCAGAGTAAGTCACGATACTAGGAGTATACCTATTTTTCTCATATGCAATACCTGGAGCTTGCACGATATCTTATGGCATAGTAATATTGGTTCGGAATATCCTTTACAGTCATAACTGTGATGTAGTGCCTATGCATAAATGCATTTAGATACTGAATGTCGCATCATCATATTAGTTAGCAGACAAGTTGTTAACTTAGCTGAAGGAGTAGCAGTGGCATGTACCACACACCATTCAGGAAAAGCTCTAAATGCTCTTAATCATTGGATTGATGTTCTCACTGTAAGTTAAAATCAATTATTCCTATTTTCCAGTTCAAATTAAATTCGAATTTATTTGACAGCTTAAATTTTACTGTGTGATGATTTTGTAACTCATTATTCTGATACTTATTGAAATACAGAAGGTAAAAGAATCAATACAAATGCTCAACTAGAGTATGTAAGGATAAGATTACTGAGACACTCTCAGAATTACTCCTCTAGCAATTTGCTGGATCATTTGGAAGCACAGAGGTAAGTTAAAGTATGGTGACTCCAAGAAAGTCTCCCTATTCATAATGGAGAAAGAGATTAGCTAGATGATCAATATCACCTAGGTTATTACTTTCCCTAGCTGCAATCGTAAAATGCAATGGACTTGATTTTGTGAATATGTTGAAATGCTAAGGGAAAATATCATTAACTGTTATATTATTTGGGATAAACCTACTTCAGGGAGCTGAAAACTTGATACCGATGAAAATTTTATAAAGAGAACTAGCAAGAGCAGCATAGGTCAAATTATGCATAATGATAATGAGGTTATCATCTTCGCTTACACTTGCCCTGCTCATTGTAATGGAATCATGGCTACGGAATCGAAGGCTTTACAATGGGGTGTCAACTGGTGCTTCGACAATGGTTCCATAAATTTCAAAGGGTAAATTGTATCTCCTACAATTAAAAATATAAAATTGGGTATTTCTCCTACCAAATACAAGATACTCAAGATGATTGGGTACTCAATTCTATGGAAGGATCTCATGTCTTTGTTGTGTAATCAAAGAGCTAACCAAATACTTTGCATACTTGACTTAATTATTTGCAGTTATTTGATTTTCTGTTTGGGCTATTCTCTTTTTTTCCTTTTCTAAATTATCATTGAGAATTATTGTTACCTAAATATAGTGCCCATCCAACATTACTATGCATATGTAAACAAATTAGTTTTCTCAAACAAATAAATGTTACTTTTTGTTGAAGACATTGCCACGCCTTCCGCTGGTGGAACAACTGAGGGGGTAAGCTTACTTTATCTTTTTTCAAGTGATGATACAGCAAAAATGCATCTTTTTGGGGACATTTCGATGATTAAATCACATAATTATTTATCAATAATTCAACCTTGAATCATGTGAGATCAAACAAGCTTTGGTGTGTCTATACAACACTAAAAATATCTAATATGAGTAATTACTAGAGTCTTGATAGGTTATCATATCTCAGTGCTTGAGATAGAAATGAATATAATATATATCTTTAATCTTTATAGACTACCAAGTAGGGAGCATAATCTTTTTTCAGTTAATCATAGAAGAGAGGGAGAAAAGGAAAGAAGTAAGAAAAAATGTAATTTAGGGATTGGGATAATAGGGGTTTATTTGAAAGATGGATAATAGACAAAGATTACAGAATAAAGAAAAAAAAAATATCTATTAATGTCCCTTACACCTTGATAATAAAATATGTACTTCAGCTTGGTTGTAATTCTACTAAATATATTTATACTTTTGTAATTTCATTAATAATATATAATTTATTTTTCATACATGTATATTACTTAAAAAACTATCTATTCGATTGCAATTTTTTTTTTTATTTTTGCTACAGAGTTCCATCTTAAAATCATTGCTATATGTAAAATTAGTTCTTTTAATGGTAAGAGAAACTAATTAAAAGAAGTATCATATGTATTTATGTTATAAATAGAGTTTTATTTATGGTGAATGTCTATATTTAGAGAGATTCTAGGGTTGATTGCTTGGTGGCTAAGTCACCCTCTCCCTATAAATACAGGGTTCTATTCCATTGTAATTCATCTCAAAATTCAATAAGAATTTTGCTCTCTCTTTCTCTGCAATATTGCTCTTCTTCTTTTATTATTTTATAACAATTTACTATTTTTTTTACTTATATTATTTTCCGTCATTTATTTTCTGATTATTATCCGTGCATCGTATATATACTAGTAAAATAGAAAACAAGGCAGGATAGAAATGAAGAACTGAAAAAAAAATAGAAAGGAAGAAGAGAAAAGATGAGAGCAGTCGAACAGTAGCAGAGAAAATCAGAAGAGGAAAGAGAAGAAGGAGAAGAAGAGAAACTTACCCGAGAGAAGACAAGAACTCGAAGGCTTGCAGCAGTTTAGAAAAGAAGAGAGTCGTCGCAGCAGAGTAGCATATGTGTTTGGAAGAAATGTCGTAAGTGTATTTGCATTTTTTTTTTAAAACCCTAGGCAGCCGCTGGATCTCGCTTTTTTCCATCGCCCTGCTTCTCCCGTTTTTGCCTGAAGCGTTTTACAGATGCTGCGCTTCAGGGCAGAAAAGCGTAGACCCCTCGCCTCGCCTCTGCCTTTAAGCGAGTAGCGCTCTTTTTAATAACACTGATCTCAGCACAGTATAGTTCTCACTAACGCCAAGATGCCTGAGAAAAATTGTTAGTGGCATTAATTAGCATTGATATTAACAAGAAAATGACATTTGGTTGTTTCTTTCAATTTGGTGGAATTCCATTTGTTTAGTCTGCTTCTATTATTTTTTTCAAGTTCAGAATTATTACACATAATTAATATTTGACAAAGTGTTCCTTGTTTTTCCTTCACGTCAGATTGACTTTTGGAGGGGAAAAAAACGCGCTAGAGCAAAATAGTTTCTTTCACTTGGGAAGTTCCAGCCTTCCAGGTTATTTCACGGTTGAGTGGTCAGTCATCTGATTGTGCTACTTCCAGCGTCTGGCAATTCCATACCCAGAAATTGTCTAAGCACTCCAAAGAAAGGCGAGGAGGAGCAATCGGACTTGAAAATAAGCCTTTGATCTTTTCCAGACTGATGAGAGGCAAATCTGCACTCTTTAAGGGCCTTTGTTTCATTCTGGGTTTTTGACCTTAGTTTCATTCTTAATTGGATAAGAATCTTTATTCTGTTCTCCAGATGGTAGAATCTTCTACATTTATATACAGGATTTAAGCGTAACTTGAGTGGATAAGAGAAAGATAGCCTTTACTGAAATGCTGAGGAGGGTAGAAGAAGGTTGCATTGTCTCGATATTGAATTACCATCAGAAGCGTACTCTTGTGAATGTAAAGCTAAAATGGGTTAAAGATAGTGTCTTGGACAGTGTAGTAGCTGGAGGCAGAGAACTGAAGGCAGGATCTACACTAGTTTCCATCATTGCCTCACAATCCAGTTCTGGTCTTCCTATTTACCATCTCACAACCAAGCGTGGACAGCTTGGGCTCCCTCATGAATTGAAAGTCTCCACTTTCCTTAGGCGATACCCAAATATTTTTGAGGAATTTTCTTGTCGTGATAGTGCTGGCACTCCTGTTCCGTGGTTCAGATTAACTCCTGAAACCCTAGAGTTTCATCATGAAGAAGTTACTGTTCTCCGTGAGTGCAGCACGGATATTGTTAGTAGGCTGAGAAAGCTTTTGATGATGACCAAGGAGAGGATGCTTCCTCTTCAGACAGTTGATCAACTAAAATGGGATTTAGGCTTGCCACATGATTATGGTAGTTCATTGGTTATAAAACATCCTGAGCTGTTTAATTTGGTGGACCTTCCCGATGGTCGTGTTGGTCTTAAGCTTTTAGCATGGGATCACAAATTAGCTGTTTCCCATTTGGAGGCAAATTCTACAAGGGGAAATGGGACCTTGATGTTTCCTATTGGATTCACCCGGGGTTTCGGGTTAAAGAGAAAATGCATGGAATGGTTGGAGGAATGGCAAGAGCTGCCTTATACTTCTCCTTATGTGGATGCCTCTCATTTGGACCCAAGGACAGATGTGTCAGAAAAGAGGATTGTTGGAGTGTTTCATGAGCTTTTGCACCTCACCTTACAAAAGAAAATAGAGAGGAGAAACGTTAGCAATCTCCGCAAGCCATTTGAATTGCCTCAGAAGTTCACAAAGGTCTTTGAGCGGCATCCTGGGATTTTTTACATTTCCATGAAGGGTGACACTCAGACTGTCGTCCTTAGAGAGGCTTATAATCGCAATCAACTGATTGAGAAGCATCCCCTTGTTCTCATAAGGGAGACATTTGCGAACATGATGAAGCAAGGTTTTCTAGATCGTAGTAGGGGGTTATATAGAGATACTAACCAAGGTGCAGAAGAGGAGTCACTGACAAGTAGTTTTGTTGGTGAAACCCGTGGAACTAGATATTACTCTGGTATAGACTCAGATTCTAATATTACTCTGGAATTTAATGCTACAAGCTGAGATGTGATTGGCTGTACTATTTGAAGTTCTCAGAAACCTGTGGAACTGGATTGGATATGCTTTCAAAATACGAATCAGATCAGATAGAGGTCTTTAAGAAGTTCTGTAATTAGAAGCTGAGAGGTGATTACGTGTAACTTTGCGATTCTCATTTTCTGATCTGAATTTGCGGATAAGTTCTTTGTAACGTTGAGGAAGTTCTCCTTAGTCTTGCTTATGATATGGTCCTCATCTTCGTTACAAAGAACAGGTCAAAGAAAACTCAGCCATTTTTAGATCAAGATGAAAGACAATTAACTAATGCAATTGGAAGTTGAGGTGAGAGTGTGGATTACTCCCTTCATGAGCATCGTTTCAGAGAACCACCTGTGGAGTGCCCTTGGGTGTGTCTCAAAGATATGATTGACAGTCTTTTGTTCTCTAAGAAGAATTTAGCTGGAACTGTTGCAGCGACTGACCCTGTGGTGTCATAATATAATGGTAAGGATTGTTTACCTTTAAAGAGTAAGCTGATTTATCAGATTTTAGTTTCTAAAGGCTGGATGAAGGCTTTGAGATTCTGTTAGATACTATGCTCATGCTGTTCTTTGAGAATGCTATGAGACAGTGTATGTGATAGTTTATGTCAATGTTGTCATCAAGTTCCCTCCATGATAATCATTTATTCTTTTCCGTGTTGTCATCAAGTTATCTCCATAATATATCATTTATCTGTTTCTCATTAATTTTGGCTTTCAGGTCATGAATGAATCTGGGCACATGTGGAAAAAGAACTTTTAAGATGTCCCTGAAATGGACACAATAAAATTTAGAATGTTTGAGACAATTATTTTGGAAACCAAAATGAAATACTACCTGTCTCAATTTATGTGATGCACTATCCGTTTTAGTTTGTTACAAAAAGAATGATATATTTTTATATTTAGAAACAATTTAACTTTAAAAAATTTCATTTTACGGTTTACCCAGTCACACAAATATTTATGTCTTGTTTTAGACACAAGTTTTAAAAGTCTTTCCTTCTTAGACAATTGAAGTGCTTTACAAATAGTGTACCCTACACTTATTAAAGTGTAATAGCAGTGTTGGAAAAACTACTAATCTAATGGTTACTGCACTCCCATACAGGGCATTAAACTGATTTAAGAACTCTCAATGATCTGGTTGATTTCAAAGTCTTTTATAACTGCACAAGTGTTCCTCTGAAACTATGCATGCTTCTTACTTTACAATTCTGATTTTGGAGATTGTCATAATTCTGCAATCTGGTTGTATCATTTCTGATTACCTCAAGGGAGTAGAGGAGCAAGAAGAAGAGGAGCACATTTCAAGAGAAACCATTTCCTTTTGGCACTCATTTTAAAAGTAAGCAACTAGAGAACATGGATTGAGTTTTGATGCTTTAAAAGCAGTATTGTTTCACTTGTATGGATGAGTTATTGTATCTGGCTTTTACGTGTTAGCTTTTCCAGCTGCTTAAAGACTAGATAGGTTAGATATTGTATCATCTTTGGATTACCATCTGTAACCAGAAATGAGTGGGACTAGATTACCATCACTTTATTGTTCCGTGCATTTCTAAACCAAGACAAGAGGCTAGTTGCAGATTACAAACACTATATTCCTTATTAGTTTTGCAGGCCAGAGGATAGCAGATAGCCTTGCCCATGCCGGTGCTCCTCCTCCCTGGGTGACATGTCGATGGCATTCGTGTCCACCCATATTTATGCCAAGGACATTTCTGGATGCCATTTAAAACAAGAGAGAGCTGCATTCAACGTTGAATCTTGTGTTTTCATGAGTCGGAACTCACAATCTGGCTGTTCGTTTTCAGTTTCTGGCAGCTTTCTCAACTCTATTTCATTTTCCTAGCCCTCAACATTTCCATTGCATTAGGTGTTTGCTTTTTCTTTTCAAGTGAGCTACATTTTCTCTGATAAGCCTCTATGCTACTGAAGTAAAATTGTCCCACCAGGTTTTATCTTCTCTCAGTTACGAGTCTATTTTCTACTGGTTATAACTTCAATTATTAGGCTTGAAAATGTACATTTGCGAAAGGCATCAAGTTTGATTTGTTTTATTTCCATGGTGGAATGAACAGTATCTCTTTAAAGAATGTGTTGATTTGTGAATAAGGCCAAGATTGACTGTTACATAATGAGGATTTTGCATAAAGCACTATAGTTTAGAGCCTAGTAATTATAGTTTGCCTAATTACCATTCACAGTTACTGTTCAGTTGTTACCAGCTTGTATCACTTGTATTCAAACGCGCAACGAATATAGCATGTGTTGATTATATTCATTCTTGCAACGAATACAACCTCAATTGTATACAAATGATACAACCTGTAGCGACTATATACGGGGGTGTATATAAAGGATACAACCTGTATCGACTGTATTCATATTGACTGTATTCAAACGCGTAACAAATACAACCAAGGCTAATACAGAAATACAAAAAAAATTAAATGCCTTTGCTGAGTGTCAAACTCAAGACCTCCGTTAACTAAGCGGATGCTCTAACCAACTAAGCTAGGAGAGGTTGTTGCACTCTTATTTCAGTTCAAATCATTAAATTTTTTTTCTTCATGAATTTGCTATAAAATTTAAATATAGCTACGAATAGTAAATTTGCTAAAAGTATAGCAACGAATGGTAAATACAATGTATATGTTTTGATGTGTCGCGTAATTTTTCCTTCCCCGAGGATGGGTGCCAATGGACTTCACACTTCTTGTGCAAGACTGCCGGTTAAAGATCTGATACTTTTTTTTTCGCAGCATTGAGTTAGAGGCTATAATAATGGATGATTCAACAGCGCAAACAAAAAAAAAAAACAATTTTCAGTAATCAATTAAAATGTTCAGCCCCATTGCCTAAAGGGTTTATCTTCTCTTTTTTTTTTTTTCTTTTTCTTTTTCCAGAAAGAGTGGCGGATTATGAGAAAGGAAGATGGAGGAGAATAGTTTGGCTCAATGCAGAGTTAGACGACATAATATGAGGCCAATTGGCTCAATGAACGAACTGTCCCTCCAATAATAAGGTTGGGAAGAGTAATTGAAGGACAATCAATGAAATTAAAAGCAAGGATATCACTATTGGTTACTGAAACCCTTTAAAACTTTTTCCGTTTGAGAATGTAAAAACATGATTTTAGCATGAACCAAAAAGCAAGAAGTAAAAATGGAATAAAAAATAGTACAACATTTCAGTTTGAAATGAAGATATTAAATACTAGAGGAAGGGATGACCAAAGATGAGGTAAATCTAGTATAGCATAAAAGCTGCTATCATTGTAAAGTTTCTCATAGTGCCTGAGAATTGCTAGTACTTGTGCAAGCACGAAAACCTGTCGCAGGAAACAGAAACTAAGTAAATGGAGAGGACTTCAATTGCTAAATAGATGTAAGGAGAAATATAAACCAAAAACAAATTATCACCTCAGGATACTTAATTTCACATAATACTGGTGAGCTCAATCATAAGAAAGTAACTAGAATTAAGGAAATACATGTAATATCCTTGAGCTCAGTGTTCATCTGTAATAGACTTAACTCCTTCAAGAAGAGTTCAAGATCAACAGAAGATGGATAAAGCTAAAGTACAGTGACACTATCCCTACCTTTCGAGCAAAATGGGAGACTGTCTTTCAGGAAACAAGAGTCAGCACGGAAAATTGTTACATATAACACTAGCTCGACACCTTCCATCAGCTCAAAGACACAAGTGTCATGAACTTTTAAACCGTTGTCTAGTGCAAATTCTCTCCAACCTGGTGAGTGGATCCTCGCACAATTTGATTGGAAAGAGCACCTTGCACGCCAAGTTCTCCCATCAGAAGCTCGCAGAACGACAATGGTTTCCTCCTCTTTGAAATATCTCCTGAAGAAGTTACAAGGTATATTCTGGAAAAAAAAGAAATTGTTGTAAGAGATACTCTTTTTAGAGATTCTGAGTTCTTTTACCCCCTTCCCCTTTAACAGACTAAAAACAAAGAACACTTGACCCCTAAGGACAGCAGGACTCGACATCTATCAAAAGGCAATGAACTGACCATCTCTTGACTGACAGCTTACCAAGTGGAAATTTCTTGAGACATGAGTCGGCTGCATAGAAACAATGAAGTATGGATTCCCCAATTTGGAACATTGTGCATCTATGAGGGTATAGCCTTTTTCTTGCCAAGTATTTGTCATCTCAGAAGCTGTGAAATCGGAGAGACAGAAGAAAAACCAAAGAATGTCATTTTTAACAATATAATTCAACAAAATGGCCACCACAAAGGAAGATCCTCATGTTATCAAACAAGCAGTATCCGTGAGAGTAGCCATAAAAAGTAGAATGACATACCTTTTACTTTATAAGCTGCACTATTCAAATTACCTTCCACGTCTCCTATTTCAAGTTTCACATTGTTAGTGACCTTCATTTTTGCTTTTTGAGATGCACAAAACAAATCCTCTTCCACGTCTGGCTTTTCAAGCTTCACCCTGATAGGCTCCTTCCTTTCTGGGTGAAAACTTGGAGAGGATGCTGGAAGGCCAGAATTTTGCCTTCTACAATATGGAGAATCTGTGACTACTTTATTTTTTGGCTTTAGATTATGCATATTCTTATCTCCTCCCCATTGTTCAAGCTTCACCTCTTTCTTACTTCGTAGTGGATACCTACAAGGTGACACATCCAAACTGGTAGCAGTTTTCTTTTCACTATGTTGATTGGTGGTTGTCATCTTAGATGCTGAGGGATTCATTACTGGTAATTTGTTGCAGTGCTCTGCCAAAAAGATGACATGGGAGAAGGGAAGGAAGGGAGGAAAAGAAGAATGTCATCCATCATAAAATAATTCAATGTAATGAATCTCACAAAGGAAAATTGTCTTGTTACTGAACAAAAGACCTTCCACATCTCTTTTTTCAATCTTCACATCTTTCAGTTGCTTACTTCGCAGTGGATACCTACACCATGATGCATCCAAACTGGTAGCAGTTTTCTTTTCAGTATGTCGATTAGTGGTAGTCATCTTAGATGCTGAGAGATCCACCACTGACACTTCATTGCAGTGCTCTGCCAAAAAGATGACGCGGGAGGGGGGAAGGAATGGAGGAGAAAAACATTGTCATCCGTCATAACATAATTCAACGTAATGAGACTCACAAGGAACATTGTCTTGTTACTGAACCAAATACCTTTCAAACCTTTCAAATCTCTTTTTTCAATCTTCACATCTTTCAGTTGCTTACTTCGCAGTGGATACCTGCACCATGATGCATCCAAACTGGTAGCAGTTTTCTTTTCAGTATGTCGATTAGTGGTAGTCATCTTAGATGCGGAGAGATCCACCTCTGATACTTCATTGCAGTGCCCTGCCAAAAAGATGACGCGGGAGGGGGGAAGGAAGGGAGAAGAAAAACATTGTCATCCGTCATAACATAATTCAACGTAATGAGACTCACAAGGAACATTGTCTTGTTACTGAACCAAATACCTTTCAAATCTCTTTTTTCAATGTTCACATCTTTCAGTTGCTTACTTCGCAGTGGATACCTACAATGTGACTCATCCAAACTTGTAGCAGTTTTCTTTTCAGTATGTTGATTAGCGGTTGTCATCTTAGGTGCTGAGGGATCCACCACTGGTACTTCATTGCAGTGCTCTGCCAAAAAGATGATGTTTGGT